GAGTTTCAGGTGAACTCAGCCTTATAAGCACTGCCTCCACCTGGACAAACAGGTTAGTCACATGCAAAAGAGGGCCATCGACTAACAATAGGCTTGATTGGCTCTATTGTTCATAGAGGGTCATGTGCTCCATCACCTGACCCGTGTCGTGTTATGTGAATGTAGTGAATGCAAGCGGGGGTTCAACGTCCCCTTGTTTTTGTCCCTCTCTCCCTCTTTGTGTTGGGTATCATCGGGGCCCTGATTCACACCTTTTGCTCACAGGGGGCTGAGTCATACGTGCAATTACAGCATTGTAGGAGGAGGACAACTGGACACGAAGGCCTCCACCTCTGTTTAATGGTGGATGGTTTTTCTTCACAAAGATGGCTTCCTTTACTCATCTCTCAAACCAACGTTCCTCTCTATCAAGGATGAGAACATCTTCATCCCTGAAAGAGTGACCGCTGGCCTGTAGATGAGTGTAAACTGCAGAGTCCTGACCCGACGAAGTAGTTCATCTGTGCTGCCTCATTCTTTTGAACAGTGGCTGTTTTGTTTCACTGATGTATAATTAATCACAGTCCTTCTGACTCTTAACAGCATATACTATATTACTGTTTTTGGCGGGGAACTGGATGTTTGGGGTGAACTAATCTTTGTCATAACATGTTTTGGGGTTTGAGAAAGTGGTCACAGGAAGCTGAAGATGCCCTACAGGGATGTTTTGAAGCTACAGATTGGATTGTTCTTTGCCAGCCACATGGAGATGACATAAATGCCATGACTGAGTGTGTGACTGACTATATAAACTTCTGTGTGGACAACACCATCCCAAGCAGAACAGTGAGATGCTTCCCTAATAACAAACCCTGGATCACCAGTGAGCTAAAGCAACTGTTAAACAAGAAAAAAAGGAGCCTTTAGGGATCGAGACAGGGAGTTATTGAGGAGTATACAGAAGCAGCTCAAAGTCGAGATCAGAGACAGCAAGGAGTTTTATAGAAAGAAGCTGGAGAGTAAACTGAAAAGGAACAATATCAGAGATGTGTGGTCAGGGATGAAGAAGATCACAGGTTTCAAGCAAAAGGAGAATTTGATGGATGGAAGTCTGGACAGAGCAAATGAGCTGAACACATTCTTCAACAGGTTCAGCTCAGGAACAAGCTCATCTTCCTCCTCTCCTGCCCCCAGCCAAACAGACATCTCACCCTCCTTTGACCCACAGCTGTCCTGTCAAACCTCAGATGTTTTATCTTCAACCTCAGTCATGGACTTTTCTTCTATATCCATAAGTTTGTCTTCAATTAAATCAGGAGATGCTGCTGCTCCCTTTCCCTCCCCCTCCCACTTTTCTGTATCTAGAAGTCAGGTGAAGAGGCAGCTAGAGAGACTGAACCAGAACCAGGCTGCAGGTCCAGATGGTGTCAGCCCCAGAGTCCTGAAGGCCTGTGCAGACCAGCTCTGTGGGATTCTGCAACACCTCTTCAACCTTAGCTTGACCCAGGAGAAGGTGCCAGTGTTGTGGAAGACATCCTGTCTGGTTCCAGTACCAAAGAAAACTCACCCATCAGCCCTCAATGATTCTGTTGCCCTGACATCCCACATCATGAAGGTCCTAGAGAGACTCCTGTTGACCCACCTGAGTAAGCAAACAAGCACACATCAGGACCCCCTGCAGTTTGCTTATCGTCGTGGAGTTGGAGCTGATGACGCCATCATACACCTGCTTCAACAAACCCACTGTCATCTGTACAAAGCAGGCAGCACTGTGAGGATCATGTTCTTTGATTTCTCCAGTGCCTTTAACACAATTCAGCCTGATTTACTTTGTCTGAAACTCCAGAAGGCTCCGGTGGAGGCCTCAACAATCGCCTGGATCAAAGATTACCTGACAAACAGACCACAGTTTGTGAGACTGAAGGACTGTGTGTCTAACCATGTGGTCAGCAGCACAGGAGGAGCACCACAGGGAACTGTACTCTCACCATTCCTGTTCACACTGTACACTTCAGACTTCCAGCACAAGTCAGACTGCTGTCATCTACAGAAATACTCAGATGACTCTGCAGTTGTTGGATGTATCAGAGATGGACAGGAAGCTGAGTACAGAGAGCTGGTGGACCGCTTTGTGACATGGTGTGGGAACAATCATCTCATCTTGAATGTGAACAAAACAAAGGAGATGATTGTAGATTTCAGGAGAAATAGTGTTAGATCAAACCCTGTTTCCATCATGGGAGAAGAAGTGGAGGTGGTTGAGGAATATAAATACCTCGGTGTTCATCTGGTCAAAAGACTGGACTGGAGACGCAACAGTGAAGCAGTCTACAAGAAAGGACAGAGCAGACTGTACTTCTTAAGGAAGCTGAGATCCTTCAATGTCTGCAGCAAGATGCTGCAGATCTTCTACAAGTCTGTTGTTGAGAGCGTCATCTCTTCTGCCAACATCTGTTGGGGCAGCAGCATCAGAGCCAGGGACCTAAAAAGGCTAAACAACCTGATAAAGAAGGCTGGTTCTGTTCTGGGGACGACTGTGGAATCTCTGGAGATGATGGTGCAAAGAAGGACTTTACATAAAATCAAGAACATTGTGGACAACCCTGACCATCCTCTTCATAAGACAAAGTGTCTTCAGTCGGAGGCTTCTTCAACTTCGCTGTAATACAGACCGCTACAGAAGGTCTTTCCTGCCCACAGCCATCAGCATCTACAATAAGTTTTTAGTTTTTAGTTAAATGAGTTACAACAACACCTAATTTCCCTCTGGGAAATCAATAAAGTATTTTTGAATTGAATTGAAAGCCACTGGGACCTCATGTTTAGAGAATAAACCTCTCAGTTTCTCTGAAACTCCTGCCACACACTGAATGACGACTGGTTTGGGTCTGGGTTTAGGTTCTTCATTTTCAGCTGGTTGTTGGCTGGAATCCTGTCCTGGAATCCTGGAAGTCTCTTGGAGGAGAGACGAAACGTTTCACTAAAGAAGAACCCATCCAGAGGACCTACTTATTTTTTCTTTTTGATATATATTGAAATGTAGGCATTTTAGTAGCCTGGTAAAAACCAGCCCTTTGTTCTATGTTTTGCTTCATAGCAGTGAAGGGAAACTACAATTGAGCAGAACTACACAGAAAGGCAAGGGCCAGGCTGGCATTTTTGTCTTCTTATAGCCAATATTTCTGATTTTGCTGTAGAACAAATGATTTTTCTCTCAAAGTGTGTCAGAAGTCAGGGTAGGTCCACTTCCCTTCCTATCTTGCTCCATGTAAAATTTCTGTCATGCTTCAGAAGCAAAAAGACCACTATTTTTAATTCGTCATATCTCAGATAAAGTGCTCTACAAATTTGAATATTTCACTGAGTAAGAACCAATCACTTCTGTCACTCACGGCTCAAGAATTATTTCATTATACCTCATAGTTTTCACACAGCAGCCGTTTGTTTGAACTAAACTTTTCAGAGGTTTTCACATGTTGAAAGTGAGGTTCTGCGCAGCTGTTCCGCCCTGCCCTGTAACGACATCACAATCTGGCCTTCTGATTGGCTCTGGAGTCACAGAAGAGGCTTGTGTAATTCAACATGGCACCCAGATTGCTCAGCAGTTTTAAGACGTACAAAGCTGAAATTTGGTGGGTAGGTAGCTGAGAGCTAATTCAACACATTCTGAATGCTAATCAGAAGTTTAAGCTAACCGCTAATGCTATTTTTTTAATGCTCTAATTCAGCCATTGTAAGACGTACAGAGCTAAAAACAGGTATAGTAGTAGACAAGATCAAGCTTCAACAAACTGAATGCTAAATAAAAATCCAACATGGCCGCCATAGCTAAAATACAAAATTGACCATAGTATTTGGCTTATATTTGGGATGGTAGTAGATCAAAGGGATCTCCAACAAACAGTAAATCCAATTTTTTATTTAAATTGGACCTGGCAAGCCCTTTCATAGTTTCTCCAGGAACTAGTCTAGTTCATCATATCTCTCCCCGTCTGCAGTGATCGGAACAAACAACTCCAATAAAGTCTTATTTATTATTTGTGAAACATTCCTCCCTGTGGGTGTCTTCTGCTGGTTTTAGCACATTGATATGACAACTGCTAACACCAGACCTCACGTGAGCTCATCAAATCCAGGAAAAGCTGCAGCACAATCTGTTGCGTCCAGTATTAAGAACAGACAGAGCAGATCTGAACAGAACACAGAAAACTGAGGAGGGCAAAGAAGAAATAAATATCAATACATTTTTGCATTGATAGGAACTTTTCTAACTAAATTTGTTACCTTCCAACACGTGTTGCTGTGACGTTGAGTGCTCAAACCTGCACTTTTATAACCATGAGCTTTAAAGAACATGTAGACCACATTTTTTCACTTTCATATTTTTTACTATAACTTCACAGAACTTCTTTCCCACATATAGCTTCGTAAATCTGGAGTATTAATGCAGAATAATTATTTAAAATCAAAAGTGAAATCCAATCCAGAAAGCTGTGTACCAATCTGTTAAATCTTAACCAGTTAAAATGAAAAATACTCCCATTTTGGTGGAAGCAGGAGGTTTTTCTTTGATTTAATTATTAAACCAGACTGTTTTCACGAGACACAACCTTGGCCTGCGAGTCAGAGAAAAAAGACAACAACTTTGTGCACAAATAACTAATTAGATACATATTAAGTAATATATAGGCCAACTTTTTTTTTCACAGAAGATGTACCGCATTAAACAGAAGATGTACCACAAATTGTAACATTCATGGATTCAGGAAATGAATATCTGCCCCATTGTTATGTATGCTCAGGAGCTGCTAATGTTAGTTAATCTGAAAAGAATAAAAGAATCAGAACTATCACTTAAAACTCATCATTTTAAAAACAGTGCTGTAGTTATTCCCATTATGCTAAAGGGTCCAACGCTGGCAAGAAATCACTCACAGTCATGAGGGGAAATCCCAGAAAATGCTGCCTTCCATCTTGTAATTTCAGGGCAACAACTCAGTTAAGACTGAGTTTGGGAGCACTTTAAAAGGGTTTGGTTCACTTTATTTACATGTTCATAAGTCTCTACAGGTTTCTTATTTTACAGATAAAGTCAGTAAAAGAAGATGTAGAGCCAAAGGTTACAAAAGTCAGAATAAACATGGTGGAAGTTGGTCTGTGCTTTTATAGGTTTGGTACAAACCTCCACTGGTTTTGATTGAATTGAAACAGGTTTTACTAGAGCCAGAAACAGATATATGTAGGCTTCCTCTGATGGGGCCACTGAACTTTATATCAGCATCAAAAAGCCAAAAATGTTTGTCACCTTCCACACGGCGCACATGGAATTTTATAGGTAGTGGAAGTTCACGGGTCAGTGACGCCAAAACTGAAGCAGAACGAGTGTCGCAGGCAGGACCGGAACCAGGAAGCTCCTCCACTGTGGAGCTGCAGGCGAAGGAACACCTCCTGCTCCGGCTGTGGCCAGCCGAGGGGTCAACAGCTGCTCCTGGAAGGTGAAGTCCTCCATCGCCAGGTTATCAGAAAGGTCTGAGAGGGAGACAGAGTAGATGTGGAAGATAAGGAGGGGGAAAAAAGACAAGACGCTTAGAAAAAACTGACAAAAAGTGGAAAAACACATGTCCGTCTCGCTGTTGCATGATGTTCTAAACAGCTGTAAAAACAATGCTACAATGGGAAAAAGCAGAGCTCCTCATATTACCAGATGTTGCATGTTATTGTTGCAGACACATGTTGAACCACACAGACATATTTTTACTTAGCGAGAGTGCTGAAATGTGAATTTACATGGTCATTTTACCAAAAACAGAAAATAACAATAAAAACCGCAGAAGCTGCATGAAAGTCATGTCTCCGAAACATCTGAAATCTTTGACCATCTGTGTCTGGTAAAATGCCATTACTAAAACAACAAGCAATTTTACTATTTTTTATGTCGACAAATATTTTAAACAATCAGTACCAACTGGTGAAAATGTTAAGACATACTAAAATGTCGGCAATAGAACCAAGAGAATGTAAAATTCAAATTTTTGGGGTTTGTTTTCGGCAGGTGCCACTGGGGGATTTTATTTTATCTTTAAAATATGACAACTATCACAGCTGTTTATATGAAAACATTCAGTTCATCTCTGGTCTTGTGTCCTTGGAGTTGGCTTTAGCTAGTGTGTCTGAAGTCTCCTTAAACCAGCTGAACATTTGTAGCTGGCTCTTGGATGGAATATTTCACCAATGTTTCAGTGTTAATGATACTAACTAGTGATGTGACGTTCGTGAACGATCCGAATCTTTTGAACGACTCTTTACAACGAGCGACAGGAGCCAAGTCGCGAGCAGTAATGAGCCATTTCTAGTTTTATTTCTTTTATTCCTCATGTAATTTTTAGTTTTTCATACTTAAATTGCTCCCGCTTTGCTTTTTCACAGAAAATAGGACAAGTTGTGGAGTACAAGAAGCTCATGGGGGAAGGAGAAGGGAGGTTTCTGCTTAACAAACACATGGTTCCACCCACGTAACGGGACGACATCATTACGTACGGCTATGTGATGACGTATTTCCCTACGTGATGACGTAACTCGTTCAAAATCAAACGGCTCTTTTGAACAGCTCTATGAAACAAACGGCTCTCCAAGATCCGGAACCCTTCAAAGAGCCATTTATCCCATCGTCTGTTTAAATCTTGTGATTCCACACATCTTCAATTATAGAGTAGAAGTCCAGATGCTTTGTCTCTTTTTTTAACTTTCATGTCCTGGATGACTGAGAATCCAAATACATATGATAGTAATGTTGGCGTTGGATCGTGTAGATTCTGGATCCATCTAGGCCTGTCGCGATAGTCAATAAATCAATTAATTGCACGATAACTTTTTTTGAGGTCGGTAAAAAAAAAGACGCCGATAAGTTTCATTTTCCTGCTTGTTT